CCGCACTCCAGTATGGGCGACAGAGTGAGACTCCAACTCAAAAAAAAAAAAAAATTTTCACTGGGCACGGTGGCTGACGCCTATAATCCCAGCACTTTAGGAGGCGGAAGCAAGAGGACTGCCTGAGCCCAGGGGTTCAAGACCAGCCCGGGCAACTTGGTGAGACCCTGTCTCTACAATAAATCAAAAAATTAGCCTGCCATGGTAGTGTGTACCTATAGTTCGAGTTACTTTGAAGGTTGAGGTGGAAGGATTGCCTGAGCCCAACAGGTTGAGTCTGTGGTGACCAGGAGTGTGCCACTGCACTCCAGCCTGAGCGACAGAGTGAGACTTTGACTCAAAAAAAAAAAAAAGAAATTTTCTCTCAACTAAAGTAGCTTAATCACAAATTTAGTGTTGTGAAACTAGTTTAAATCCCAAAAGCAGGGCGGTTGAGAAGAAACACATTTACAGTCAGCCAGACTGTCTGATCCCACTTCCTAGGATGCCTCCCACAGGCTTAGAGAGTAAGGACTCCTTGAAACAGAACACCCACCTGAAAGATCCTTGGTGAATGTGCCCTGTTCTAGCTTATTCCTCTCCCTTGTGCTGAAGCAGCTGGGAGCTGCGGAGGAAGGGCTCTGTCCCCCAGTCTGGACCAGCTTCCACCCGCAGCAGCTCCCAGTCCAGCTCCCTATGGGGAAGACTTCTCTCACTTGTTCCCAGGCAAAGTTAAAAATAATAAAGAATAAACATATCACCTGCATAACCCCGTGGAAATTAAGTCAAGTACAGTGTGGCTCTACATAACAAGATAAACTTCAACAGCAAACATGGGTGAAAGGTGGGCCCACTTCCCACCTGGCCTTCAGTCTCAACTTCCTTCAGTGCTGCCAGCTGCCCTTGCAAAGCTTTCATTTCTTCTTTCTTTTGTTTTTCTGCTGCTTCTGTAGCCGCTTTTTTCTGTGCCTGGTAAGAAAATTATTTAGGGTAATCTTAGAAATTGGGAGACAAATTACGGCATATAAATTATGTTTCTGGCCGGGTGTGGTGGTTCACTCTTATAATCCCAGCACTTTGGGAGGCTGAGGTGAGAGGATTGCCTGAGCCCACAGCCTGGGCAACTTGGTGAGACCTCATCTCTACAATAAATAAAAAATTTAGCCGGGCGTAGTGGTGTGTGCCTGTAGTTCCAGCTACTTGGAAGGCTGAGACGGAAGGATCAACTGAGCCCAGATGGTAGAGGCTGTGGTGGCCGTGAGCGTGCCACTGCACTCCAGCCTGGATGACAGAGTGAGACTCCAACTCAAAAAAAAAAAAAATAGCTAGGTCTAGAAGTAAATTTTTCAGATTAATTTAAGAAACGTTCACTGATAGGTAAGACTGCCAATGTCCCAGTGGCTAGCATTATTCCTTTTTACAGCCTAGGAACCTTGAGGGTCTCACTGGCAGCAAGTGGAGCTGGGATCTGGACTTGGGAACCAGTGCTCTTAGCCAGTACGTCCAGGATCCCTGTACACGTGGCTTCTTAAAATAACTTACTTATCCATGTACCAAGCAACTTCTTAAACACAGGATTACACAATTACTTCATGAACATTAACTTACCCTAATGTCAGCATTTGTAGGTTTGCCATCTATTTTAGCAAATCCCTCAAAGATTGTTTTGTAAAGGACATTCTTGCGCGTGTTGCTGTCATCTGGAGGAAGGTACTCGAGGACAAAAGCCTGGTGCTGTTTGTACATGTCCAAGATAATCCTGACTGCTGTCTCTCGGACCTCATACACTTTGTGCTCCAGGGCACTCACAGAAAACTAAAAACAAAGGTGGAGACTCAGCTTCAGGATCACAGTCAACCCCTTCTAGCACATGTTACAAGGTGCATTATACAGATTTGAAAAATTAAAAAAAACAGCATACACAGAACCCCATATTCTAGGACACAGAGAATTTTTCCTAGCTGACATCATGTACATAGCTGAGCTTACATTGTACATTCGAATTGTGTTTTGCCTTTTTCCACTTGACATGTTAACAGGCCTTCTTACAGATATAGCATTCCATAAACTTCGATTAAGTACTATGAAATCTTTCAAACACGCAGAAGAGGAAATATAATACGCCCCGCAGGCCCACCCTCTACTCTTAGCTGGTGTCATGATTTACCATGCTTGCTGGATCTTTTTGTAATTCCCCTCCACACATCTCTGCCTGCCGTCCTCCCATCGTCTGGTCTTCCTGTCCTCACGTCCTCCCAGGAGGTATCCACACCCCTGAGCTGATGTGTGTGCTGCCACCCACGTGTTCACTTACTCCCAGGGCACATGGCCGCTGACATGTACAGAGATATATGTACAGCAGCTTTTTGTTTGGCCATTATAAACAGCATACTGTGCCTATCATTCTGAAATGTTTTTTCCTACTCAACATTATGTTTTCAAGATCTAGGCACGTCCATCTTAATCTATTTCATTCAACTGCTCTGTGGTGTTCTGTCACATGACATATCACAATGTATCTATCCATTCCCAGGCTGATGTTTCCCTGATGGTACTTTGAATATCAAGGCCTCTCAGTGCCTGGACTTCCTCACTTCTGAGCCACACGCTCTCGGGCTCACCAAGACCTTGTACTTCCGGTCGCCGCACCATCTCTGAAGTACAACCTTGAGGGTTCTGTGTGCTAATTCCTGCCCACCCTTCCCGCTCACTTTTCTTGGCATTCCTTCCCGACAGTTCTTCAGCCCCATGGGACTTAGCTGGTGTCCTTCCACCATCCTGACCTCCTGCGGGTGTCCTTCCACCACCCGTTATCGCCCATGAGTCCTCACTGCCCTCTAGGTCTAGCGAGGACCAGACAGTCTGTCGTTGTGGTCCTTCTGCCGTTCGTGTGTACCCTCAGCATCCTGGGCCCCTTCCCCTTTCTGCGCATCACCAGGCGAAGCGGAATGTGACTGCAGACTTCAGAACCAGCTGGCAGGTTCCACCTGAGACCATGGCCATCTGCACCCAGGACCCGGGCCTGCGCAGCTGCTGATCCACGGTGTTCCCTTTGGGCCCCTGGGACCTGAAGACGGGCATTCTGAGCCCCCGTTTTGCCTCCCAAGCCACTTCATCCCTTCTCGTCTGAAGCAGGCATCCTTCTTGAAGAGCCTGCGGTTGGCCACTTGCTGTCCATGGAGCCAGCGCGCCGGCCCCTCAAGGACTCAGCGTCCACCACCCCCTCCCACATCTCCTTCTTGTATCTGTTTCTTTTCTTCTTTTCCCTCATCCAGATAATTCCTGCCAGCACTTAGATCAACTAAAACACAACCGAGTGCTCAAAAAGCCAGTGTCCTTTGCTTCTCACACTCCTCTGTCCCTGGCCATCAGGGTGGGGCCATCTCGCCCAATGGGAAGGGGGTGGGTGCAGCTTCACCCACGGGAATCTCCCATGCACCATCCTTTAGTCACTTTCCTTTATTCAGTGGCCTCGGAGGTCACGTGTGGAAGTGGGTGGCATCATACTTGAAGGATACCGAGTCCCCGAATGACTGCACGCAACAGAGCACCCTCTATCCTTGCCAACTGCATTGGACCATGACAAAAGAGAGCAATGCACACTTGTGTAAGGCACAGAAATGTCAGCACTTGTTACTGCATCACAGCTTCCTGTGACGAATGCTTAAATGAGGATCTTGGAGTGGACACTGACCCAGAGCTCAGAGACATGGGGCAGGTGTCACGGATCTGGGGTGGGGGGGGCGAGGAAACTAAACTTGGAGGCAGGAAAGAGGCTGAGACTGTGTTATGCTGGGCAAAACAGTCATGAAAACTCTTGCCAATTATAACTCAGGGAGGTAGGGCGTGGGCCTACTGAGTTACTAGTGCCAGGAGAAACTGATGGAAATAATTAGGGTACCAGTGTGTTTGGGCTACAACTGGCAGCTTTTGACAAGTTCCACTAAAGTAAGAGATGAGCTCTGGAAAGAACTGGCAGCTTGCAGCCAGGAAAAACTCTGTTCTTCGGCATAGGAAGGGCCACGCTGGCAGGTCTCATCAGGAGGATCACAGGGGTCTCCAGGGCTGTGGAGGACAATCTGCAGGGAAAGTCCACTGGGGACTCTGTGACTCCAAACTAGGCAAGAGAGGATGACACTGGCCCTGGTGGCAGCAGCAAAGGCCCGTGGTTTCGTCAAGTTCTGGGTGCATTTTAGGGAGAGCCCAGAGAATTTGCTGATGGAGGTTTGAGACAAGGGGAAGAGTCAAGACGACAGCAAGGCTGTGGCCCGAGCTAAGAGAATGAAGCTGCTCTTTACTGAAATGGGAGAGGCTGAAGGGGGTCCAGCAGAGTCTGATGTGGACATGGGAGGTGGAGGTTTCCTGGCGGTAAAGAAGGGAGGCTGAGCAGCGATGGGGTGAGTCAGAAGCTCGGGGGGAAGCCAGGGAAGAAGGGTCTTCCATGCCCAGATGTGCAACTGACTGGGATCATAAGGGAGGGAACAAGTACACAGACACAAGGAGAATAAGGCAGGGGCACTTCCAGCTAAAAGCCAAGAAGATGAAGATGCGTCAGTAAAGGAGCTAAGAGGACGAGGCTGCGAGGCCACAGGGAACGGGGCTTCTTCACTTCTGTGTCTAAACCACACCTTTCTTGATAAAGCAGGTGTTCCTCACCTTCCTGACTGTAAGTTTCATTATGTCAGGTTCAAATCCAGGCATCTGGAGTCAATGGATACATAGAGTCAACAGAGAAGAAAGTGTTCAAATCACATCCCCACTGCCTCCCTGCTCTCCACACAAGAGGAGCGAAGACAGAAAACTGACCTAAGGCAGAGACTGAGGACTAACACTGTGAAGCAGCTTATCCTCAGTACTGGCCAAAATGTTGGCCACAGTCAGAGCCATATCTTCAACATGTGTGACATCAGGAAGCAGAAAATTTGATTGGCAGAAAAGTTGTCCAAAGCACAAAAAGTACATCTACAGTGAGTACTTGCACTCACAGGCTGAGCCCCCCAAACCAGAAATCGAGAATGCCTCAAAGTCTGAAGCTTTCTGAGTACCAATACAATGCTCAAAGAAAACGCTCCCTGGACGCGTCAGTCTCCGGTGAGTACGATGTAAATATTCCCACACCTACAAACTCCGACATCTGAAACTCTTGGTCTCCGCACTTTGGCAAAGGGATGCCCAACCCTTGCTTGCTCTTCCCTGCCGCCCTGCAGTTGTCTCTGACAAAGAAACGCTTCTGTGACCTGTGTCCCACCACAAAGAGCTGCACACACCACACACCAACCAGCGCGACCACGAACAGCAGGAAGGGGCGGTCCCTCATTTGTCAGAGGACACACGTACTCTTCCGAAATCATTCATTCATTCAGCAACCACAGAGCAGGCACTCGCCGTGCTCCAGGCACGGTCAGCGGGGCTGGGTCGCGGCAGCGTGTCACAGGCGGCTTGCTCACCTTCATCACACTGTCCAGGGTGAAGCCCGAGCTGCCGGTGCCCAGGTCCTTCAGCAGCCGGGCCAAGAGACCCATCTGGCTCATTGCCAGGTGAACCGAGGAGTTTGCTTTCAGCGGCTGCACCAAGTAGAACGGAATAATGTGGAGAGACTTAACTTCCTTAAACAAGGCCATCTCCTGGGAAAGCCAATATAACTTGTTAATTTCTACTGGGAAATGCTAGAGGCAACTTAGCACAATATAGCCTGATCTTCACTGAAGGAAGAAAGAGGGAAATACAAAATGAGAGTGACAGATGGCAATAAAGTCACCAATCTATCAGTTTATACGTCCGTTTAAAGCATAACAACAATTAAGACGAAAACCTGTAGCATAAGAAATAAAACCAAGATCACCTGAAGATTAATGAAAGTGTTACAGAAAACATACTAGGAAACTTTAAGGTTTTTATTCTCAGCATTCCTCAACCTCAAGAAAAAGGGTTTCTAATTTCTTTTTTCCTTTCTTTTCTTTTTTTGAGTTGGAGTCTCACTCTGTTGCCCAAGCTGCAGTGCAGTGGCAGGCTCATGGCCACCACAGCCTCGACCTGCTGGGCTCAGGTAATTCTTCCTCCTCAGTCTTCCAAGTAGCTGGAACTACAGGCGTGCACTACCATGCCTGGCTAACTTTTTGATTTCATGTAGAGATGAGGTCTCACCATGTTGCCCAGGCTGGTCTTGAACCCCTGGGCTCAGGCAATCCTCTTGCCTTGGCCTTCCAAAGTGCTGGGATTACAGGCTTGAATCACTGTGCCTGACCAGGTTTTCTAATTTCTAAAATCCTAAAAGAAACTTTATTTTATTTTATTTTTGAGTTGGAGTCTCACTCCGTCATCCACGCTGAGTATAGTGGCACACTCATGGTTACCCTAGTGTCAATTTGCTGGGCTCAGGCGATCCTTCTATCCTTCTGCCTCAGCCTTCCAAGTAGCTGGAACTACAGGTGTGTGCTACCGTGACTGGCTAATTATTTATTTATTTATTTATTTATTTTTTGAGTTGGAGTCTCATTCTGTCGCCCAGACTGGAGTGCAGTGGCATGCTCCCAGCCACCGCAGCCTCGATCTGCTGGGCTCTGGCAATCCTCCCGCCTCAGCTTTCCAAATAGCTGGAACTACAGGCATGTGCTACCATGCCCAGCTAATTTTTTGATTTATTGTAGAGATGAGGTCTTGCCAAGTTGCCCAGGCGGGTCTCGAACCCGCAGGCTCAGGCAATCCACTCACCTCAGCCTCCTAAAGCGCGGGATTACAGGCTGAGCCACCAAGCCCGGCTATTTATTTATTTATTATAGAGACGAGGTCTCACCATGTTGCTCAGGCTGGTCTCAAACCTGTGGGTTCAGGCAATCCTCTCGCCTCGGTCTCCCAAAGTACTGGGATTACAGGCTTGAGCCACCATGTCTGGCCTAAAATAAATTTTTAAAAATGTCTTTGAAAAAAAAAAATTTCTATAGCTTTAAGGACACAAATTGCTTTTGGGTATGTGGATAAAATGCAGAGTAGTGAAGTCTGGCTTTTAGTATATCTGTCACATTATACTCAACTAGTGATTCTTTGCTGCTAGAAATTAGTTTTGCTGCTCGAATCATCATTTCAGTATTTATTAAATGTCAACTACAAGTGTAACAATGTATGATTCTTCAGTTTTTTGTTTTTCGTTTTTGAGTTGGAGTCTCACTCTGTCGCCCAGACTGGAGTGCAGTGGCATGCTCCCGGCCACCACGGCCTCGACCTGCTGGGCTCCAGCCATCCTTCCGCCTCAGCCTTCCATGCAGCTGGAACTACAGGTGCGCACTACCATGCCCGGCTAATTTTTTTTTTTTTTTTATTTATTGTAGAGAAGAGGTCTCGCCAAGTTGCCCTGGTGGGTCTCGAACCCGCAGGCTCAGGCAATCCACTCACCTCGGCCTCCCAAAGTGCTGGGATTACAGGCTGAGCCACCGAGCCTGGCCGATTCTTCAGTTAAAATGGCTAACAGTGGTTAAGATGAAAATGTAAGTACCATTACATATTTTAATGTTCCTAAACAAAGAAGTCTTTTTATAATTAAGACACTTATTTAATTAGTTAGGTACAGAGAAAGAAATAATAGAATATTGAAGCATTTAAGCTGCATATAGAAAAGAAACCTGCTTTTTAGTGATTCTGCAGGTCACATCACTTAAAATAATCTCTCATTTTGTCAGCCCAATTAATTTAACTTGGGTCTATGAGTGACATTGCATACACATAAGACACGGACATAGTAAGAGCATTCTTCAGGGAAGTATGAAGAATAAACTCCTTAAACAACAGAGGCTGTAAGTGTGTGTTTGAGAAGTCAGCTAACTGGCATGCTGGGGCACACCATGAATTCTAACCCTGTGGCAGACTGCTTCAAAGTTATCTCAGAGACAGAGAAAAAGTGAGCATGCCCAGACTACTCAGAAGTTAGTATGGCTTGGAGAAATAATTACACGAAGCCACCACATGCTCTCAATTTCAACAGATATCTTAAGAGACAACACCCCCCAAATTTCAGCAATCTTACCAGTGTATATTGTAGCACTTTAGCTACAGCTCTTATTTTAACCTTTTTATTAGTATTACTTATTTTCCCTTATTTATATCTTCCTTGAAAATTTAAGTTTACTAAATGAAACTAGAACAGTGGTTTTTCATATTTTTGGAGAAATGACCCCCTTTGAGAAACTATGAAAGCTTTGGATTCTTTCTTAAGAAAGATATACACACCCACAACATTTTGTACACAACTTGAAGAAATCCATAGACTTTTTAAAGCCCAAATCTGGAGCCTTACCTTAAGAACTTCTAGATCAGATGAATTCATTGGCAAACTTAAAGACAGCAAGATGTACATTCACACTTCATGGTACAACTATGTGCCCCAAACCCTCACACATCTATCTCAATATTTCCCACAATATCTAGCCCAGAGCAGGGGTCTTTGGTGAAATAACAAAAATGTTTAGATTAAGACAGTTGTACATCCATTATTTCTTTACCCTCAAATTTTCTATTTTGATAAAATTTTCCATATATTTTTATTTATTAAAAATCGGTAGCACATGTTGGATAAGAGGAACACGGTAAACACATTTTAACTTTGAAGTTTATGCCTAAGTTTTTTTTTGGAGTTGGAATCTCACTCTTGTTGCCCAGGCTGGAGTGCAGTAGCACGCTCATAGCCACCGCAGCTTCTACCTGCTGGGTTAAGGCAGTCCTTCCGCCTCAGTCTTCCAAGTAGCTGGAACTACAGGTGAGCATCACCACGCCTGGATTATTTTTTAATTTATTGTGGAGACAGGGTCTCGCTAAGTTGCCCTGGCTGGTCTAGAAACCCTGGGCTCAGGCAATCCTCTCACCTCTGGCTCCCAAAGTGCTGGGATGACATTGGTAGGAGTCACCACACCTGGCGATAAAAATTTTGTTTTTTTGAGTCAGGGTCTCACTTTGCTGCTTAGGCTGGAGTGCAGTGGCATGATCATGGGCTCTGAGATCAAGAGATTCTTCCATCTTAGCCTTCCAAGTACCTGGGACTACAGGTGTGTGCTACCACATCTAGCTTTTTTTATAGAGACGAGGTCTCACTATGTGGTCTAGGCTGGTCTCGAACTCTTGAGCTCAAGCAATCCTCTAGGCTCAGTTTCTCAAAGTCCTGAGATTACAGGTGTGAGCCACTGCGCCTGGCCATGTGCTGAAGATAAAATTTACCTTTAAAGCATAAAGAAAGCACAATAGTGAATCCCTAAGAATAATGTATGATGCTCTTGAGTAGAGACAGAATCTTGTAAGGTGTTAAGAAAGCCAGATATCTATAGGCATGTTTACTATGCACAGTTTCAAACGCTATGGTGAGGTTCAGACCTGGATAAAATTCGCAGCTGTGACACGGAGCCGGGCAGAAGAATCTCCGGTTCTGGTGAGCAAAACGGGGACAGTCCTTTCCACACAGTGAGTTGTCTCAAGCCGACTCAGCTTATGTTTAGGAATATATTGCGTAATGATCATTTTCAACAGTTTCAAAGAAGCTTGAAAGACCTAACAAAAAAAGTGAGAAAAACAGATTGAGCTACTATAATGGAACTCCACAGGGAGTAAACATGAAATGTACTATTGGTAATAAATAAGGACATTATATTGATAATTACATCTTGTCTGAAGGGCTGAAAATGGCAAACTGAGAACTGCTTTCTAATTATAGTACCCTTCACACAGTAGATATAGGTTCTTATTTTACGGTGTCACAAAGCACTCAACATAATCCCTTGATATAAACATCTAACATTCCTGCTTCAATGGGTAAGCCCTGTATTAATGCACAGAATTGTGTAATTGTAGGATGTTCATTCTGAAAGCCCACTCGGAGCTAGAAGACTTCACTAGTAACTCTCAAGCCCCTCAGGTTTCATGAAAAATACAAACGTCTGTCCATGGTGGTGAGTCAGCTTCTGCCAACACTGAGCCTTGAAGACCATAGAGAAGCCGCTGCTGTTCTAGAACCAGGGGATGACCCAAGCATAGACAGATTTCACGAACACTTCATTTACAATCACCTTTATAAGGCATCTCTTGTTAGGGAGCCTTAATTCTTAACTACACTATCAAGCTAGAGCTGGTGACTGTGTCAGCACCTCTCCTGATATCCTGGTCTGCTGTGGGATGGCATGTTATTTCATCCACAGACGCTGGGGCTAGTGCCAGCTGTGGGGACTCACTGAGGTCACAATGTCCTTTATGGCTCTTCTAATGAGAAAGATGGATGCTCTCAGTGTGTTCTTTAAATCTTCCTTTGGGGTTCCCACAGGCAATTCCATCAGCCTTTTATACAGAGCAAGCAGTGCATCCTCTCGGCAGGACCATGTCTTGGAATAGGCCCCGGCAACCTACCACAAAACAGAAGTCTTGCTTTATTTCAAGAGGCAGCGTTTTCATGGCATCCTACTACCACCCTCCACACTTGAAGGCTTTTTTCTTGGAGTTGGAGTCTCACTCTGTCACCCAGACTGGAGTGCAGTGGCCGCTGCCGGCCACCGCAGCCTCAACCTGCTAGGGCTCCGGTGATCCTTCCAGGTAGCTGGAATTATAGGCGCGTACTACCACACCCGACTGATTTTTTTATTTATTGTAGAGATGAGGTCTCGCCAAGTTGCCCAGGTGGGTCTCGAACCCTCATGCTCAGGCTTATTTATTTTTTGTAGAGATGAGAGCTCGCTATGTTGCCCAGTCTGGTCTCGAACTCCTGGGATCTAGCAACCCTCCCGCCTCACCCTCCCAAAGTGCTGGGATTACAGGCTGAGCCACCGAGCCCGGCCAAAAGCTTTTTTCTAAACTAAGACTTCTGTAAAAGGTTTTTACAAAACAAATATGCATATTTAGAACTAACTTTTCTGACAAGGAACCTTTAACACTATGTTAAAATATGAGGCCAGAGAATTTGGGAGGGTGAGGCGGGAGGACTGCTTGAGCCCAGAAGTTCAAGACCAGACTAGGCAACATGGTGAGACCCCATCTCTACAAAAAATAAAAATAAAAATTAGCTGGGCATGGTGGTGTACGCCAGTAATCTCAGCTACTCAGGAGGCTGAGGTGGAAAGATTGCCTGAGTCCAGGAGGTTGAAGCGGTAGTGAGTCGTGATTGTGCCACTGCACTTAAGCCTGGGCGACAGAAATATTTTAGAGCTGAGACCCAGGGGAGAGGCCACTAATTTCCACAGGAAGACACTTTTGTCTTTTGCTTTGCCATCATTTGCCACGGGAACTAGCTGGAGCTCACAGAAGGAAGTCGATGTTTATATACACAAGCTCTGGGAGTACCAGAAAGAAACACCCAGGCTTGAATGAATACTCATTCATAGAATCTGAAATTGTAGCTCATGCTTTTGCTGCTTCATACAATTAAAAATTAGCAAAAGACTTTCTGACTCATTAAGAATAAAGTGGGGTGGACTCCTTTGCTTGCCATGTCTTCTCACAAGACTTTCAGAATCAAGTGATTCCTGGTCAAGAAACAGAAGCAAAATCGTCCCATTCCCCAGTGGATTTGGATGAAAACTGGTAATAAAATTCAGTACAACTCCAAGTAGACATTGGAGAAGAACCAAGCTGAGTCTATAAGGAATTGCACATGAGGTGGCACACGTTTATGTTGAATCATGGTCACCATCATCTTGCCATTATCAAGTTGAAAATCTCCACAGTCGAGAAGTCAAACATGTTTAATTGGGATGTGATTTTTTGTTTATGTGCTCTGCACTAGTGGGCTGGCTTAGTAATAAATATGAAACCTTCTGTCTGGGAAAAAAAAAGAATAAAGGGAAATTAACATTATTACAAGCACAAAGCCCCGGGCTGTCTTCCTTGATGTCTACGTATGCATATTGTGGTGCATGTGGCGTTTCTGCTTTGTTACCAAGGTTTCTCCCAACACGTCAATGGCGGAGCTGGCCTCCCTCGAGGCCTGCTCTGTTAGGGGCTCGGGCTCCCCTGAAAGGCCTCCTCTCCGAGTATCGCTGACATCTGCCTCACTCATTTCAGGTTCTGCCAGCGCCTCTCCCTGCTGCTTGCGGATGGCTGGGAGAGGCCGCTCGTCATAGGGCAGGGACTCCACCTGCGGGAGGAGGGAGAGAGGAAGGGGCGGTGGTGGGTATCCTCCCCATCTCCTGGTGCAACTCTCCCCAGCAGTCCTCTACACTCCCTTCCCTGGTCAGAAAAACTGTGTTTTGCTAAATGTCATCAGATTAGGATAATTTACACAACAAATAAGATGTAATTGAAGGCTGGGTACAGAGGCTCATGCCTGTAATCTCTGCACTTTGGGAGGCCGAGATAAGGGGACTGCCTGAGCCGATGGGTTTGAGGACAGCATGGGCAACTTGGTGAGACTTCATTTCTACAATAAATCAAAAAATTAGCTGGGCATGATAGCAGGCACCTGTCGTTCTGGCTCCTTGGAAGGCTGAGGTGAAAAGATCACCTGAGTCCAGCAGGTTGACGCTGGGGTGGCAGTGAGGGTTCCACTGCACTCTAGCCTGGGCAATGGAATGAGACTCCAACTCAAAAAAAAGAGATGTAATTGAAAAAAATTAGATGAGGCATTCTGTTCCTTTCTAAACTCACGATAGATCTAATAAAAAAAGCATTGTAGACTCCACCTAAATGACTGTTTACAGTAGCAGTTCAGTTCAACTGACATGGTGATTAATAAAGAAGGTTATTACATTTTTTTTCTGACAAGATCTCTGACATTTTCTTAGCTTATTGCTTAGAAGTCAGTATCAAGCCTAATTTTTTTTTTTTAGACATACTCTTGCTCTGTTGCCCAGGCTGGAGTGCAGTGGCACAGTCACAGCTCACAGCAGCCTTGAACGCTTGGGCTCAATCGAGCCTTCTGCCTCAGTCTCCCAAGTAGCTGAGATTACAGGCATGAGCCACTGTGCCTGGCCAGCCCTGATTTTAATAGCCCATGAGGTGGGCTATTAGGCTTATTGCTTATGCTGCTATGTTCTTCCCCAGGGCTCCTATCTCCAGGAAAGAAGGGGAGAAGGGGGTGGCTGTGTGGAGCACTCATATGTCCTGTGCAACGAAACACTGTCTGGCACAACACAGACCCTCCACAGACATCTGTTGGACAGACCAAACACCAGTCTGAAACTGAGTCACCTACACCGACCTTTAGATGAGCATTCGTGGCAGGCAGCAACTGGTCCACTGCAGAATGCTGAGGAGAAATACTCAGAGAATGTGACAGAGTCTTTTCTTGAAGGAAAGGCTCTGCAAAGTGGTTTTCTGCTCCTCTTTCTTCCAGGGGTGGCAGTGGGGGCACTGGCTTCTGATGGTGAGGACTATCAGAATGAGCAAGGGGCTGGAGGGGCAGGTCAAAAGGTCTTCGCATCTGGAGGAGAAAGGGACATTCGATCTCACGTGTCCCTGCCACACCAGATATAACCCATCTCAACCTCCCAGATGAGCAAGACTAGAAAGGCTGTGACAGGAGAGGATCCTTGGGGTGATGAGGAGTTTCAAAACAAAAGAAACACTTTCCAGAGAGCGATCATCTCCTCTAAGTCCTGCAGTTACCTGCACTTGCCTTGGCTGTCTCTCCATGTTACTGTTGGGGCTACAAAAGTGACAAACACACCCAAAACGATAGTGTAAGCACAAGCATTTTCCTGAAGCACGTCCACACATGTGTGTAAAGGAGCAGGGTGGTGGGACGTGCCCAGTGAGGTCTGAGTTGACTCGTGTTTGACGACACTGCTTTTCGCCGCGTCTGCAATGGAGGGTTGGGTTGTGCAATACCGATAAGCAGAGCTGAGCGTGCAGCTGTTCACACTGGGCGTGGTGCTGTGTGCTTTAGGCGGATGCTCTTAATGCTTGTTTTAACTCCACTTTAAAGCTGATGGGAAAACCGAGGCATGGAACTGATAATAGTCTGATACTCACAGCTAGAATTGGGGTGCTGGACTGAATGAACCCAGGTAGTCCAGCTCCACAGTATGCATTCTCCACTGCTATCTTGTGTCTCTGGGCCTCAGTTTCCTAATCTATCCTGTGGGATGGATATCACCTGCCTGTGAGTTCTAAAGATCAGAGGCAGAGTGCCTTGCAAAAACCATGTTCCCAACATGCTAAAGCTGTCAGCGTGATTGTCTCACTTTATCCTCATGGCACTGAGGGGTACGTAGTGCAGGATCCTCATTTCATTTTGCAAACAAGGAACCTGAGAGCTGGAGACACGAAGGGAAAGGGACACAGTGCCAAAAGCAACAGGGCCCTCGGACTTCCTGCCCTGACTCGTTCCTTCTCCCCCTGCTATGACTCCTCCAGAACATGGCAAGGCCAGAACCCACTTGGCGCAGGCCTGTAAGGGTGAGGGGTATCCGCCGCAACTGTCGTCCGAGTCCAACAAAGTCTGTGCCTGACATTCACAAAACACCCACCTGACTGGGTGAGCAACATGCTGAACTTCCCTCCTCCAGCTGCCCTTCGCCCACCCATCCCTGGCCCAGCCTTGCCGCTACCGCACCCACCAGCTCAGTGTCCAGGAGGCTGTGCAGCTCCAGCTGTGCATACACCTCGGCGCGGTACTGCTCCATCTGCTGTTTCTTTTCCTTGGCGAGGTCGTAGTCCTCCTTCTCCACCGCACAGCGCTTCTCCACCTCATACCTCCCCAGGCGCTCGCCAACCTGCAGCACAGATGTGGGCTGTTTCTCATCCAGGCCGATTATGTAGAGTGAAGGCACGCTTTCAGAGGAGTACTTGAACGGCTTGGTCAGAACACGTGTTCACTTCACAGATAGCGGGAACGAACACAGGGCAAGGGAAGGGATGGCCGTGCCCACTGCCAAGGCCTGCTTCCTGCCGCTCTGGCACCTGGAAAGCCCTGCAGTCCCGTCATGCTGGGGACAGACAGCTCGTTTTCCCACCATTCTTCCCAGCACTAAGGTCCCAGCATCGAGGTGGCTGATGGGCACTGACGTGAGTGTGAGCAGGTGGAAGATGGCCCCCCCCTTCCTCGACACCTTTAGAATGCTCGGCCTCCATGACTGATTTGATGTGATCTTTGGACCTGTTCACTTCACAGCCTTTAGTAACCCATTGCTCTGTTTACCACAGTTATACCAATTCCACACAGAGTCCGTCACTGGCACAAGCAGGAGCTGCTTTTCTGGAAGCATACCTTTTGCAAATCAGCAATGGCTTGCTTCAGTTTCTTGGCATAATCATAGCGCTCCTTCTGGACAGCTTCACGTTTTCTCTCATCTAATTTGCGTATAATCTGGGCAACTTCTGGGTCTTGGTACATATCAAAAGCTAAGTCATCTAGTGGAGAAATATAGTCAGATTTCCTAAAGGGAAGAAATGAATATTTTAGAGCTAATTTCAATCTCTGGCTACTGTGGTGGTGGGGGAGCCCTGTGAGTTCAGTGCTGCTGATGCAGCTGAGAAAATGCCCCTCCCCTCACGGTTCACGGAGCTTCTCCTGCACGAGTCATGGAGCTCTTACACGCAAGCAGGTCTTTCTGGCTCCAAAGCTCATGCTGTTGACCATGAATTCAACTTCAGGGCATCGGAGCCCTTGGTGCATTTGCTCATGCATCCAATCAACAGACACTGAGTGCAGACTTGGCCAGGCCTGGCTGTAGGCACTGGGGACAGGACAGTGGGTGTGAATCCACCTTAGAACAAGGTGGGGGGTGGGGGGAAGGACAAAATAAGTGGACGATCAGGTCCCACCCCTAAGGAGGAGATGTGGTGGGTCCAGGTGGGCCGGACACCCATGCTTTATAACGACGCCACCACGGAAGCTTCGATGAACATCACAGGTCAAGCACTGCTACCCTGAGTCTCCCTCGAAGTGTTAAAGTGCATGGCATCAGCCCCCGAGTGTGGGAGGAGACCAGAGTGCTCTTTTAGAAGTGAACGAGCCTTTCTTAGTTACCTGGTAACCCACTTCTGATTAAATATGACCTCCACGCTTCCCTTTAAGCTATGGGGTAGGGCCATAAACCAAGCAGCACACATGTTAGTGAGGACAAGTTTCAAGCATTCCAGCTGCTACATGGACGACATGAAGCCAGCCAGTGCACTGTGACCCGGACAGTCTGAGAAGTAGGCAGGCTTGAATTAAATATTATTTTGTCATAAAACTTCAGTTGGTAAACGAGTCACAATACATTCAAACAGGACACAAGACAACTTCACCTTTAAAATCCCCAGCGTCCCTTCTGGCACCTCCCACTTTGCTCCCAGCAGGCCAGTGGTTGGGACAGGCTTGCGCTGGCAGCTTGTAAGTGTATCTAATCCCAGTGACCACATAGGGATGCCTTTTAGTGATTCTATTAGCTCATGTTGGTCATTCTTAGCTGACACATACTCCATCCTTAAGTCTAAGTCACTTGAGGTCCCAGAGATGAGCACAAACACTACATCTGATTATAAAACTCCTACAAAGGAAAACACATAATGTCCTGTGGTGTCCCAGCCTGAATGCCTGGTGACTCAGCAGTGGCACAGAGTGCCTTCTACCTGCTTGGGTACAGAGCCCAAGAGGTGAGGCTGGATCCTGCATCAGTTCAGCCCGCACTGACAGCCACAAGCTCTTCCTAACTTGCTCATGGCCCCCCCATGAGATTCAGGCATGAGGCAGGACAGGTGAACTAGTCTGCCATCTACCCGGCTAACAGGATTAAGACAACTGATGTAAAGTCTCAATCAAGAAAACAGGAAGAATGTTTACTGGAGACACTAAGAAGCTAAAAACGTATCAATACCGGAAGAGACCTGGGTGTGGGCACAGTGATGAGGCCACCCAGGAGAGAGACAGGCTCCTATGTGCAAGGACACTTTTCGAAGCATCCTTCTGAAAAACAAGAAGGCTCCTGCTACCTTCCTGGGAGCAAAGGGAGGTATCTGAAGCAGAGACGGAGAAGCGGGCTCTGGCCGTCTGCGCTCCTGAGCCCGAAGTCGCCTGGCCTGCATCCCCCACCACGGCCTTGCGAAGCAGGATGGGCCATGGGAAGGCAGGCCGAGGGACAGGAGGCGCCTCTGTGGGAGGGAGGCTCCCTACCTGCCTGCGCCCATCTCTGTGGGGGAGGCTCCTGGCCCGCTCGCCAGCTCCTGAGCAGCCAGGGAGTCCACTCCTTGCTTTGTGTAACCACAAGAGTCCAGTTTGAGTGTCAATCACTTCAAGTCAGCAGTTTGTATGAAGGGAAAAATGAAATTACACTGAAAACTGTGGCGAACTTGAAGTTTAAATGCTTAATCTTTTCTTTATTCAGAAGTAGCCATCCGAGAAGAACCAGGGATCATTTGAATTCCTTATTTTTTAAAAAGTTATTATTATTTCTTCTTCTTTTTTGTTGGTGCAACTATGACAGCACCTGTTTTCTTTTTTTTTTTTTTGAGATGGAGTCTCTCTCTGTCGCCCAGACTGGAGTGCAATGGCCGCTCCCGGCTACCGCAGCCATGACCTACTAGGCTTCGGTGATCCTTCTGCCTCAGCCTTCCGAGTAGCTGGAACTACAGGCGCGCGCTACCACGCCTGGCTAATTTTTTGATTTATTGTAGAGATGAGGTCTCGTCAAGTTGCCCAGGCGGGTCTCGAACCCGCGGGCTCAGGCAATCCACTCACCTCAGCCTCCCAAAGTGTGGGATTACAGGCTGAGCCACTGAGCCCGGCTAGCACCTGTTTTCTATTGATCACGCATCTTTGAATGGGGTCCCCGTGCTGTCATCCATAGCAAGCACATGACAAGGGTGCTGAGGGAGCTACTGTCCCAAAGAGGTGCCCAGGGAAAGAGAGGGTGACCAGGGATAGAGCCAAAGAGCTCTCTAATCTCCCACTCTGGACCCACCAAGCGTTCTTACACTGAAAAAAAAGAGGCAACAGACAACATAAGTGCAATTGTTAACATGAAGAATATGTTACCGGGCACGGTGGCTCAAGCCTGTAATCCCAGCACTTTGGGAGGCTGAGGCAAGAGGACTGTCTGAACCCAAGGTTCATTTTTCCCTTCCCTTGGAGAGACCTCATCTCTACAGTAAATCAAAAAATTAGCTGGGTGTGGTGGCACACACCTATAGTGCTAGCTACTTGGAAGGCTGAGGTGGAAGGATTGCCTGAGCCCAGCAGGTCAAGGCTGGGCTGGCCACGAGCGTGCCACTGCACTCCAGCCTGGAGACAGAGTGAGACTCCAACTCAAAAAAAAAAAAAAAAAGAACACATTGATAGACAGAGGGGAACTGGTGAAAATTGTGTTTTTAAAATGGGTATGGCCTAGGTATGGTGGCTCATGCCTGTAATCCTAGCACTTTGGGAAGCAGAGGTGAGAGGAATGCCTGAGCCCCAAGGTTTGAGACCAGCCTGGGAAACTTGGCAAGACCTCGTCTTTACAATAAATCAAAAAATTAGCCAGGAGTGGTGGTGTGTGCCTATAGTTCCAGCTACTTGAAAGGCTGAGGTGGAAGGATCACCTGAGCCCAGCAGGTCAAGGGTGTGGTGGCTGTGAGCATGCCACTGCACTCCAGCCTGGGTGACAGTGAGATCCTGACTCAAAAAAAAAGGTATGATATATATTTCTCATTCCCCTAAAGAATAAACTTTTAAAGTAGCTATAAGATAAGTCTCCATTAACAGATATTCTGGGTTGATTAATATCTTTGATTTTTATCTATACATCTGCTTGTGTCAATAAAATATCAAAGGCTAGATCGTTTCTCTAAATGCACTGTAGGAACCTTCTGGTAATACCTGATGTGAAAAATGACGTAGTCTCTGAAGGGCAAGCCATGAAGGTGTTAAATAAATAGTGGCCTTAATCTTCATGTAAATTTAAAACAATCCAATCAGTGGCTCATCCAGCTCTAAACTGAAGTTAGAGGCTCTCAAATCCAGAATCCTTTGGAAGCAATGGACACTACCATGATTCCGAGGAAAGGTACAGGCATTTCTTGTCTCGGGGAGCAGAATGCTTACCCAGCATAAGTTCCTTCCAGAGCTGGATCCTCGGTGTTGTGCCCGAGATAGTGGTCAATCAGCTTCTCTCTAGAGGACTTTGGGAGCAAGACATCTGCTTAGCATCTCAGAGCAAAAAAGGGAGCAACATAAAATCTTAATATTATTTGATAGAAAGTTGTCAGCAAGATTCAATGAACCTATTCTTTTGGAGGGACAGCTAAAATTGCTGAGTAAAAGTTTAAAATACTATAGCTGCTAAAAAATACCTGAAGTAATTCACTAGTCAATTTTATGAATTTTATTTTATTTTTTCTTAAGACATGGGGTCTTGCTCTGTTGACCAGGGCTGGAGTGCAGTGGTGTTTCTGTAGCTCACTGCAGCCTTGAACTCCTGGGCTCAAGTGATCCTCCTGCCTAAGCCTTCCCAACAGCTGGGATTACAGGTGCATGCTATCAAGCACAGCTAGTTTTTAAACTTTTTGTAGCAATGGGGTCTGACTATGTTGTTCAGGCTGGTCTTGAACTCCTGGTCTCAAGTTATCCTCCCACCTTGGCCTTCCAAAGTGCTGGTATTATAGATAGGCATGAGTCACTGCGCCTGGCCAAGATTTTTAAAATGATTTTTTTTGAGTTGGAGTTTTACTCCGTTGCCCAGACTGGAGTGCAGTGGTTGCTCCCAGCCACCGCAGCCTCGACCTGCTGGGCTCTGGCGATCCTTCCGCCTCAGTCTTCCGAGTAGCCAGAATTACAGGCATGCGCTACCATGCCTGGCTGATTTTTTGATTTATTGTAGAGATGAGGTCTCACTGCCCAGGTGGGTCTCAAACCCGTGGGTTCAGGCAATCCACTCACCTCTGCCTCCCAAAGGCGCGAGATTACACACTGAGCCACCGAGCCCGGCTAAAATGATATTTTTTTGTGGTGAAAAATAAGTGATCCCCTCCTGTTAGATATACATTTTCTTCCTTACAATTAAATGTCTCAAACTTACAATGTTGTTTTCATCACTGAAATCTGCAGGGTCTCCAATTATATTTATTGCAACCAAAGCAACCTAAGAAAGAGTTAAATCAATAGAAATTAAGTATAAAACACTTGAGATTACTTAATCCCTTCATAATAAACTCTGACTGATACTGTTATCAAAATGGGATGATGAAAATAAGAGTGCATTAATTACAAAATATTATGCCAATGTAAATAATTACTATTAATTTTTAACAAATTATGTAAGTCAATATTCTAATGCTAAACCAAATGGCTATTTTAAGCATTTAAAGGATGTTAAAACAATAATAGCCATAAACCCCCAAAGTTTTCATCTAGTCTTATAATGAACCATCCACTAAGGTTAAGTACAGAAGTCATAGTTATATGATACTGGTAAATTACACAGTGAAGTAAAAAGGTAAATTAACAGCTCAGTTTATCCAAGTCAGTGATTCTTGATTCTCACCTGAGTGAGGGTCACACCCCCCCCCCATGGTAGCCTAACTACTTAACCAGGTCACGGATGGTGAACTCATGCAGGAGCAGAGAAGGAAGTCAAAGCGTTTCAGGATCATCCTTCCAGCTTACTGTCCTGTAATGCTGTAGGAGACCAAGCAGCTCAACTTCCAGTTCGTGAGCTCGACCTGCAAATCTGACTTGTTGAAAAGCTTGCATACTTCTCAGAGGGGCAAGGGGGGTTGTAAGTACTCGTGCTAGTTAGCAAGACTGCTTGGGACACAAGTGGTTCCTACTACATTCATCATGTGGAGGGAAAGAAAGAAAGGGAGGAAGGGCGGGCTCAAGAACTGGCAGCCTGGAGCTGTAGAGTCAGTACTACATGCCACATGTGTGCCCAGTTTCTACAGGGACTGGTTTGTGACAGCTGGGAGGGCGCACGTGGAACTGAGCCGCCCAGCACAAGCCAAATGTGAGCCACATGTGCCCCTTCGAGTTTCAAAGAAGCCACTAACAAAAAATGCAGAAGAAATGAATTGTAATAATAAGGCTGACATAAACGAGCCAAAAATCTCATCATTTATCACATGTAATTGGAATGACCATCTTAATGGCTGCGCTCACATCCCCTCGTGGCCCCATCTGCGAAGTCACCACCTGGTGACGCTGGCAGCAGCTCTCGTTGGCGCAAGGCCTATTTCCAGTGGGCAAGAGCCACGTGTGCCTAGAGGCTGCTGGAACAGCCCAGAGAGGCCAGCCTTGTCCAGAGAAGACCCTCTCTGGCAAGACCCTCTAGGAAACGCATCGAGGGCAGATGACTACAAAGCTCTCGAGGGAGGGGCAGGGCCAGAGGTGACGCCCACTGTCCTACCTGGTTGTATATGTTGTATTTGTTGATGTGGTTTTGGTGAAATATCAGCTTCAGAAACTGGCCTACTGCGTCCACGTACACCGACTTCAGTTCCCGGGCCTTGCAGCCCGTCTTCTTGTTATCGCAGAGAGGGACATAGCTGAGGAAAGTAGCAGAAGAACGTGCTGGCGTGATGTGGGCTGGGCAGTGAGACCGCCCCGTTGCTCCTGAGCTCGGGGGGTTGTTTCCACTTATTTTGTTAAAACTACACCTCCTCCACGCAGGGTCAATAGGTTTAAATAAAAGCCAAATCTAGAATGAGAAACCCAGGTCAAAATCCCCGAAGTCCAACTCTAATTAGTGGCCCTAGGAAAAGCTCCGCATCTGAAAAGTGGCGCTAAAGAGCAGAATTTTAAAGTGACTGTAAGGCTTCCAAGCACGTTCAACGGAGGCGGCGGCAAAGGAACCATGTACGCAGACCATCCCTGACAGAGGACCAAAGTGGGGGTGATCATTTGTTTTTTAAGAGCTATGGGGTAGAATTAGTCAGGCTTACAATTGCCATTCAATATAATTATTATTACTATTTTTGAGTTGGGCATCACTCAGTTACCTGGACTGGAGCGCAGTGGCAGAATCATGGCTCACCACAGCCTCAACCACCTGGGTTTAGGCGATCCTCCTGCCTTAGCCTCCCAAGGAGCTGGGACTACAGATGTATCACCATGCCCGGGTAATTTTTTGTTTTTCTGTAGAGATAAGGTCTTGATATGTTGCCTAGCTGATCACGAACTCCTGGCCTCAGGTGATCCTCCCACTTTGGCCCCCCAAAGTGCTGGGATTATAGGTGAAAGCCACCACAGCTGGCCTCCATTATATTTCATTTTCATTTATATTTTAGATTTCATTCTTACCCAAGTCTTCGAAATCGCTCTGCTTGATATGGTACAAAGTACTCGGGCAAGCTCTCACTGATGTAGAACTCAATTTTACTTGAAATCATGTACTGGTGTACAAGCAATTGCAGTTTTCTTATCCGACATCTCTCCACCATCTGGAGAACAAGTTCTTGTGGAAACTGGCAGAATCTGAAAGCAAAGCAAAAAACATTTTTGCTTTTCCTGAACAATTTCTGAGAGGGTTTCTAGATGCCAGCATCCCTCTTTCAAGGCAAGAAGCATCAAACAGCACCTGCTGAGACCCGGATGGACTGTAGGTGCTGAAGGCACACAGGTCACTGTGACACTGTTCCCATTCTCTCTAGCCACTCAGGGTCGGAGCGGACGCTGGGGACTGAGATTTGGCTGGCTCTGCCCCCACCCTCCGTGGACCACACTTCCGGCAGCTGGTGAATGGCTGGAGGTGAGACCTGAAGTTCATCCCAGGATAAACAAGTCAGTCCTGAGAGGCTGTGCTGGCAGGCATGAGAGCCCAAACATGAAAGGACTGCACGTGATCACGATTTGGGGAGGGCCTGCCACTCACACCTGCAGCATCGGGGACGAGTCCTAACTGTGGCACGTGTCAAAGTTTCTCATTTTGCTTAGACATGAGATTAAGAAACAAAACAAGAGTCAGACAAGCACATGCCAGGAGCACAAGGTCAGACAGGCAAGGCCCAAGTGCTCAGGACGACGGAGTGCACCAGTCTGCTGGCCAGGCCTGCCAGAGGCCGGCAGGGATTACGGGCATGTGGAGCAGGAGGCTCTGGAGGGTGGGGCAGGTGGAACCAGCCCCTTCCCAGGAGAACCACCCCCCCACCTGGTATCCTCTCCCTCCCCCTCTTCTCCCTACACCGGCTGCTGCTCACCTGTCCCCACACTTCACCGAGAAGACAGACACATTCAGACAGGGGCCCGTCTAGGGGGGCTCTTCCTCCCCGGGGCTGGTGTGCCCACTCCCCCACTTACCCAGTACACCGGACAGAGCCCGCTCCAGCGCCAGCCTCCTGGAGACCTCAACTCCCGCGGTTAGCCCTCGACCAGACCATCCCGCCAATGAAAACACTCTGGAAGGCCCCATTTGAGAACACCGTCCTGGCACTCTGCATCCTCCCTGGGCGCCCATCCCCAGGCAGGAGCTGTGTGTAGTCTCTACCATCTCCTCATGCCCCCCCGCCTCGCTCCAGGAGGGCACTGGCCCCCCTGCCCACGGCTACCTCGAGGAAGGCCACCGCGAAGCTCCCTGACATCAGGTGCTGCCTCTTGTGACGCTGACTTTGGTCAGCCCACGCAACCGCCTCTGTGTCCATGACACACCTCTTCCTGGTCCTCCTCCTCCCCCTGGCTCCCCGCCCTCCATCCAGCCTTGAACACATCAAGGGCCAGGCTCAGGCTCTCTCCTCTCCACAGACCATGGGGGAATCCCATCAGCCCCGTGACTTTAAAACGTCCTGCTATCAAGGAGCTCCACCTGGACACTTCTCCAAGCCCAACTCCTCTACGCACCTGGTGGGAGACGTGATGTTTCCACGCAGCATCCAGAAGGCATCAAGCCATCAACACACAGAACCACTGACCTGACCTGCTCCATCAGCCTCTACCCCAGCAACAGCACCCCAGCTCCCGTGGCCCAAGTCCTGTCCTGCAGCTTCTAACGGGACAATTAGGTCAAGTCAGCAGTGACCTCCCTCTTTTGGCTGCTGTATGATCAACACCTGGAATCATACTTGCAGGAGGCAAGTACCCAGTAACTATGAGTGGACAAAAGAGGGAAGAGTTAAGAAACGGCCACCCAGGCTGGGCTCAGTGACTCTGTCTGTACTCCCAGCACTTTGGGAGGCCGAGACAAGTGGATTGCCTGTGCCCATGGGTTCGAGACAGCCCCAGCAACTTGGTGAGACCTCATCTCTATTAAAAAAAAAATTATTCGGGTATGGTATCATATACCTGTAGTTCCGGCTACTTGGAAGGCTGAGGTGGAAGGATCACTGGAGCCCAGCAGGTTGACACTGGGGTGGCTGTGAGTGTGCTACTGCACTCCAGCCGGGGCGGCAGAGTGAGACTCCAACTCAAACAAAAACAAAACAAAACAAAACAAAACAAACAAACAAAAACAACAACAAAAAGAAAGGGCCACCCAGCTGAAAAGGTTTGAGGCAGTAGACATCTGTTTTTTTTGGTGTGTGTGTGTGTTTTTTGTGTCAGGCTCTTACTACTGGTGTGCACCACCATATCAGGATAATTTTTTTGATTTATTGTAGAGATGAGGTCTTGGTATGTTGCCCAGGCTGGTTTCAAACTCCTGGGCTCAAGCAATACTGCCTCGGCCTCCCAAAGTATTGGGATTCCAGGTGTGAGGCCCTGTGGCCAGCCAGTGGAAATATCTGAGGAAGTCTGTATGGAAACCGAGCTTGGGGCTGAGGGTGGGAGAGGATGGAGGCTGACGGGCAGATCTGCACTCTTTATTCTGAAGGAACGGCAGCCTGACCTTTTGAAAACCACAAAGGTTGTAAAAGACACATCCGGGGCAGGAGAGCAGCCAGCACACCTTGGGACACCAGGCGCCTTGGGAAGTGAAGGTCTTGTCTTTCGTATTGGTAAAATGCCGCTATAGACATTTAAGGTATTTACTGTTTTTAAACGTAGGTCACATATAGTTTATGCTGAACTTAATTACTAAAAAACACTAACTCCAAAACCATTAAAAAGTCAGGACAACTGACAAAACTGTGAAGCTGTGTGGCATAGACAAGGTGCTGTTCTAATACTGGGCTGAGGGAGCCTCTTCTGTGTGTAGATATGTACAGATATGCAGATACTACCTAATAGTCACACGCCGTTCGGGTCTGCAGCCTAAGAGCAACAGGTGACACCACACGGCCCAGGTGTGGAGCTGGCTTTGCTGTCCAGGTTCGCATAAGCACATTAGGAGCTCACACAGTGGTGGAATCCACTCCTGGCACTGTTCTCAGGACGCATTCCGATCACTGAGTGGTGAAGGACTGCACTTTTGAAAATCCTTCAGAAAAGGGTCTATGATTTAGCTACTCAACTGGGAGCTGGTAAACAGTTTACAGATGAATAAAAGATACTCTTTAAGATGAATATAAAAAGGCTCAACACGTCTAAAATGGCTGGTATGTATCTATCCTTTCAAGATAAATTGACAGCTGTAGATTTTTTTGAATAAAAATAATATGGCAATTAAAAGAAATGGATGCCCAGAGACGACAGTTGCAGGTGTAAATTTTATGTTTTTTTGGAAAAGCGTCTTGCTCTGAAAAGCTCAGGGTATCTGAATTCTGAGGTTGTAAGAATGGGGCTGGGACACTGCCCTTGGTCCTGTGCACCAACCCTGCAGCACCTCCCAGAGCTGTAAGGGCTCCGGTGCACCTTCTAGAGCCTGTGGGGACAGATCACGCTGTCCTTAGGAGGCTTGGGGATGTTTTCCTTGACCTTCCTGCGACGTGCTTGGCCTCAGAGAAGTCAGGAGACCCCGGAGCCCTTCCTGGTGTGGGCTGGTGTGAGCCTGGGACCCAGGAGCCACATGCCCTTGCTCTGAACACCCTCTGGAAGCAGGTTACTAAGATGAGTGTCTGTTAAGCCCTTACAGAATTCCCATGTCAACGCACAACAGAACCCTGTGGTGTTATGTTTACAAATATTACCAACAGAGACATGCTGTGCATGCATTTAAGAACCTTTAACCCACACAGACTCACTGGACCAGTGCAGTTACGGTCCAGGGCCTCTGTGGGGAATGGAGTCCCGTGGTTCCCTCCGCCCGGGGAGCCTGACTGAGCTGGAGAGGCGAGTCTGGTGGGGTGGGGGGACACACTCTTCCTTCTGCTCTCTAGCCGGGCTGTGGTGGCCCTAGGATGCCCACAGCCTCCGACCCCAGCTCCACTTGCAGCCAAGGTGCTCTGCCCCCGCCAGCTGCTTTCCTGTCTTCATTTCTCAGTCCCTTGAGAACGTGCTTCAGGGAGACGGAGGGACAGGGAGTCTTGTTTAGTGGGAACCCTCGAAAATGCTGGAAGGAAAATATGTTTTAATTTTAAACGTGATTCATGTTCAATGTTCAGCAACACATCTTTTGAATAAAAGCAAGACAGGGCTATATGACCGAATTTAAAATGCCATATGTATTTACTCACTCATGAGTCAGGAATAAAACAGCAACTTCTTCTCAGGCTTGAAAACAAGCCATGAGGAACATGGTGCAGGGGAGGTGGGACAGAGCCTGTGCCACATGCTGAGGGTGGAGGGTGGTTGTCAGTGCCCACGTGACACCCACTCGGCTCCTCATAGCTGGTGCGACTGCCTGAAGAATGAAGACTGAAGCCACAGAGGCAAAACAGACTTGATGTTTCGGGAAAATAACAACTAAGCATGCAGTGAACTTCTTCTTTAAGAGACAGGGTCTCTCTCTGTCACCCAGACTGGAGCACAGTGGCACCTTCACAGCTCATGGTAGTCTCGACTTCCTGGGCTCCAGTGAGTCTCCTCTGCCTCCTGATTGGCTGATTACAGGCTGAGCCACCATACCCAGTGTGACATTTTTATAAAGGTGTACACACGCTCAAGAGAACTGTGAAAGGGACATTGTGTTAAAACTTATTGTTATGTAAAAGCAGTGACACAAGACCTTTTATCATAGGATTCTAACCGTAAAACTAAAAAAAGAAAAAAAATTGCAAATACAACTTTTGCACAGAAAATAGGTGAGAATGTTGAGACCCAGCAGGTGATCAGGGAGCAGGGCTGGACAGCAGACGACACCCAGTGTGTGGTCAGGGAACATGGGTGGACAGCGACAAGACCCAGAGTGTGGTCAGGGAATACAGGTGGACAATGATGAGACCCAGCATGTGGTCAGGGAATGTGGGTGGACAACTATGGGGTTCATTTCTGTTCCTTCTTTGCACATTTTCCTAAGTGAGTACAGATGAATGTGAAAAGGGAAAGAGGGTCAGCAAACTTCTTTAAAAACATTAAACAGAAAAAAAAGAATCCATTACAGAAGGAGATACTTGACACTGTGGCACAACCTGCCAACCTTGTGGTCCTGACAGCCACATTATAAAATCTGGGGCTTGGGATGGAAGGAACCCCTACATCCCCTGGCCTCGATGCCACGCTCTGTCCCACTCTTACCTGGGCGACCTCCACCCACTGACAGTTGGTGCGTGGACCATGAGCTCCCGGGCACTGAAGCCGTCTTCATGTCCAGAGGAGCTGACAACCACAAATCCAATCTTGTGTGGCATTCTGTGCGCATGGGTGGTGTAAGAGCAGGAAAAGTTTCTGTAAGGTAGAGGGGTTTGCTAACATGTAACATTTAAAGTGCCTTGTTCATGGACACAGTATTTTACCAAGTATTCAGAACTTTCCCCTCACTTTGAAAGAACCTAGTTTTTCTGGTAAGTATTTTTTTACAGTTACCTCTAATTCTATTTAGGGTATCATTTAAGTTATTTTGACTTTTCCCAAATATTTGTCCAGAAAGTCTGACCAGTGCTGTGGACTAAACTGTGTCCCCTATGAAGACACGTTGCAATCCCGTCTGTGACACTTGCAAATGAGACCGTACTTGAAAACAGGGTCTTGGCAGTCATGATCCAGTTGAAATGCGGTCCTTGGGGGTGGGCCCAATCGACTGGTGTCCTTACAAGAAGGAGAGAAGATGGGCTGGGGAGGCAGCTCACGCCTGCCATCCCAGCACTTTGGGAGGCCGAGGCGAGAGGACTGCCTGAGCCCAGGGGCCCCAGACCAGCCAGGACAACTTGGCGAGACCTTGTCTCTACAATAAATCAAGAAAAATTAGCCAGGTGTGGTGGCACATGCCTATAGTTCTTGCTACTTGGAAGGCTGAGGCGGAAGGATAGCCTGAGCCCAGCAGGTCGAGGCTGCAGTGGCTGTGAGATGTCACTCCAGCCTGGGTGACAGAGAGAGACTCCGACTAAAAAAACAAAAAACCAAAAACCAAAAAAACCCAAAACCAGAGTGTGCACAGCCTAGGTGGAAACTGACTCATAGAGTACACTGAAACAGTGGCTGAATCTCTTTAATGCCAAGATTTTTGGGGGAGTCTGACCTTGTTCGTAGCTCAACAGCATCGCGCTGAAGGTGGATGAGTGCCTGCTTGATGTCCCTCTGCTCATTTGAAAGCAGCACCTCAATCTCCATTTTCCTGCAGTGACTGCCCGAGCCTATACCTGGTGGGGTTGACCACTGCCCCCTACCCCCACCGTGCTCTCTGCCTATGGTGGCTCGCTTTCCAGGTCTGGTCAGTCCATGAATTCTACATCCCTCCACAGTAATGAGTTCAGGATGGGAACCTCAGTACATGACCCAACTGGACTGATGGCACTCAATCCTGGGACTTTGCTGGGATGCCTGGGAAAAGGAGCTTTCTTCCTACTGGAACAGCTGGCTGAAGGACCATATCTGCCCAGGGCTGCTGGTGGCACCAGGTGGGGAGGCCATACAGCATGCAGGGTAGCCCAGGGAAGCAGTGTGGACTGATGCAGAGCCATCTTGTGAGCCTGTGGACCCAACTTTATTTATTCAGACTAAGTATCTGTCACCCAGGCTGGAGTGCAGTGGCACACTCATGGATACCGCAGCCTTGAGCTGCTGAACTCAGGTGATGCTTCCGCCTCAGCCATCCAAGAAGCTGGAACTACAGGCACATACCACAACGCCTGGCTAATTTTTTGATTTATTACAAAGATGAGGCCTTGTCAAGTTGCCCAGGCTGGTCTCAAACCTGTGGGCTCAGCCAATACTCTCACCTTCTCCTCCCAAAGTGCTGGGATTGTATGCGTGAACCACTGCGCCCGGCCTTCAGCCATATTTAAAGCCCAATCTGCTCATGAACTCTGGCTACTTTTCAGTTACTAAACCAAATTCCTCCTAAGTCAGTCAATTTGAGTTAGGTTATCTGCCAGAAGACTCTTCACTAATAAAGAAGATGAAGACTCCATCATAAAGTTCTCTGGGACGAGATACACTGTTAACTGAACTCTCAAAAGGAGGCAACGTACAAACATACTCCTGTGAAGCTGCTCACTCTGAGTGCTCAACGCAGGATCTAGAGTTTTCTTTTCTTTTTGAGCCAGAGTCTCATTGTCACCCAGGCTGGAGTGCAGTGGCACGCTCATGGCCACTGCAACCTCGACCTGCTGGGCTCAGGTGATCCTTCTGCCTCAGCCTTCCAAGAAGCTGGACCTATAGGCGCATGCCACCAGACCAGGCTAATTTTAAAAAATTTATTGTAGAGATGCCAAGTTGCCCAGGCTGGTCTGGAGTCCCTGGGCTCAGGCAGTCCTCTTGCCTCCACCTCCCAAAGTGCTGGGATGGCAGTAGTAAGTCACCACACCTGGCTGATCTAGAGCTTTCTTTTACCTTCATTGCGGACTTGAAAGGGATGGCGTCAATAAACTACTGGCTGGCACTTGCTAATACTTCTTGGAATGTATGAATGGGGAAAGTATTAATGAAGAGAATGATAAACGATCATTAAAGATCCTAGTAATTTTTTTTTTTTTTAGTTGGAGTCTTACTCTGTCGCCCAGACTCTGGCCTCTGTCGCCCAGACTCTGGCCTCTGTCGCCCAGAGGCCACCGCAGCCTCGAACTCCTGGGGTCCGGCTATCTTTCTGCCTCAGCCTTCCAAGTAGCTGGAACTACAGGCGCATACTACCACACCCGGCTAATTTTTTAAAAAAATTATTGTGGAGTTGAGGTCTCGCCAAGTTGCCCAGGCGGGTCTCGAACCCGCAGGCTCAGGCAATCCACTCACCTCAGCCTCCCAAAGCACAGGATTACAGGCTGAGCCACCGAGCCCGGTTGATCCTAGTCATTTTTTACACAAACTTCACTGCACAATGTCACTGCAAATTAACCGTTTGCACTCAGATGTCTCCTCTGAGGGGACATCGTAAATCCAGCAAATCACTTGGGTGTCCCTTCTGAGGGGACATGAAGAGATTGCTGGTGATTAAACAGGACAAACTTATGCCAGCACACATTTTTTCAAAACTGTATGCTTCCTTGAAATTTTCCATCCAAATTGCATGAAAAGGGACATAAAGAGATGGGATATATCTTGAGATATACATTAAAACAATCAGTTGGTGTTACGTAGAAAGAGAATGTCCCTCCACATCATCTTCAAACAACAGACTGGACAATAAATTACATTTTATTAATGTGGGAGGAAGAGAACGAGACTGCATTATCTGCTCGAATAGAAAAACACCAGGTGGAAGATGGCAAACACATCACTACTGCATTACACGTATCAATGAACCCGTGATGTGTGCCGGTTAGTGTTTCACATGTTAGAAAAATGTAAGATATAAAATTTTGATTTTGTTTGTCATAAATAAGTTCCTCAATGCCCAAAATTCCAGTATAAGCCAAAAAGCATTATAATAAAACAACTGGTTTCCACATGACACTATTTAATAAAACAGTGCGATCAAGTTGCCAGTAGGTGATCCGTGAGTGCAAAGTGGTGAAGAAAAACTAAAACCAGAAAACAACAAAGAGCAAGCCCCAGAAAACGGATGAGTGGCTCACACTGTCCGTGCCCAGCCTCTCTACTGCGGCACCCGATGCCAGATGCCAGCCTGCAGCTCCTCCCCCAAGACCACCCAGGCCTGGGTCTGGAATTACTTTCCCCTGACCCATGACCTCTCCCGACTACACACACCCAGTGGCATACCGTGTGCTATTGGTTTGACGGGTTCCCATCACACTCGTCCTAAGCTCCAGCCATTACCACCCCACTCCGAACTCAAGGGCCCTCGAGGGTGCCCCATCCAGAGATTAAAGTGCCAACTCTGCCCTGACCCGTCTACTCTTCAAGCTCACCTGTCTTGACTTCTGAAGTCCAGCCAAACTTAGCTGAGGCTAACAACCCCCTGCTCTGAATCCCCCTAGTCCTTGGTCGTTTTCAACGCGGGGCCTTTCACTCCCTTCCCATCTTGAAAACTGCTCTTCTTCTCAGGCTGTTGGCTTCCGGTATCTCATCTTAGCCAGCACACTCTGCGATGGCTCGAAGGAGTAAACATCGGACCTCTTAAGTCAAACAGAAGGGTATTTTCCCTACTCTACGCTGTCCCCGTAAATCCAAAGCAAAGTACTGGCACTGAAGCATGGGGAAGAGAAATGCCTGGGCCTCAGAGGCATGGTTATCACACGGGTTGGGCATCTGAGAGGGATTCTCTTCTTAAGCCACCTCCTCCCAGGCCTTCCAGCTTGCAGCTAGGGTCTCCTTTGGGTAATCCCTCAAGGGCCACATGAAACACTTGCCAATGAAGGATGCATGCTACTTGTGGGCTCTATAAAAACCATCCCAAGCAATTTGGGAAGAACCAAAACTCTGCTGGCCTCACTGCCAGCGGATAGGATCCCAGCAGTCCTGGAGACAGCCATCCCTGGCACGTGCCAGAAGGCATTTCCCCCCCAAGCAGCAGTTATTCTCCTCCCCCCTTACCACACTTTCCCTGGCACTCGGTGATCAGAGCTATAAATTAAATTGAAATTCAAATGAGCGACTTGGAAACATTTTGTGACATATTTCGTCTCCTGCTTGTCTTTTAAAAAAACTTAAATGTCACACAATTAAAGCAGGATTTCTGGTCAATTAAACTTGAGGATCGAAAGGGCTTCGGAAAACGACGAAAGTTAAGAACAAGCCCGGGCGCATCATCCCAGAGCCTTGCGAGGCGGAGCAGGGGCGCTGGCTCGAGCCCAGGAGGTGGA